TTGAGGTGACACTAAAATGAGCTTGGCTTCCCTAGCTTAGAAAGCAGAAGCTATGAAGGGGTGTTACTGCTGCTCCTTTCTTAAATCTAGGCCTCAGAGAAGATTTGAGAAAAACAAAAGTTGTATAAACTGACTAATTTGAGGTCAGAAAATAGCACAAAGTTTCCAGTAATTGAGACAGCAGCTCTAGAATGCTTTCTTGGAGGTTAAATGGAGCTTAAAACACAAACCACAACATGACTGCTTTTAGTAATATGAGTTAATAAGTGTAAGGTAAAGGATTATGCAGTGTTATTGCCTGTGACATCAGTGCACTAAGCCTGATGAGTCACGAAGAGCTCTTTTCCAGTCCTGTGTTCTTGAAATTTAGCATCATGCAGAAAAGGCCTCAAAGTTGTCCTGCAGTAAATCAACTTGTCTGCAAGAACCTTACTTGCTGGGTTCTAGTGAAGTTTAGATGTTTTTGTGGTACTCAGACTGGATCACTTTGTTCTTCAGATGTTGTAACTACCTCTGAAAATAGATGTCTGTATACTGGTAGAATGATATAAAAGGCTGTGTGACTCTTAGGCTTCATTGGTAAGTGAATTTCTGACTTCTAACGGGACACAGCATCTTTTCTGCCAGTTCACCTATGAACTCATAGCTCTGCTGTAGATGTCTCCTGTCCTGAAATGAGCAAATGCACATACCAGCTAAGATGACATGAATTATAGCGTGCCATCTAGAACTGGCCTAACTCCTAGTATTTTAAAATTAAAATTGACTTAAGACACTCTTTTCATCAATTCCGTTGTATTGTTTAGAAGACAGTTCTTACCAGAAGTACTGCAGATGGGATATAAAAGATTTGAGTGGGGATCTTTTGCTCGTACAGCCTTTTGTTGAATTCTGTCACATAGTACTGGGCAGTCATTTGTCGTTCCACATCACTGAAATGATGAAGAAGTCCTTTTTCTTCTTTATATTCTTTCCCAACATACCTAAACAGACAGAGAAGTGTTTGGTGTAGCCAGATCTGCAGCAGATTGCTTTTGGGAAGACCTGCTTGTGATAAAAAAACATGGCTACAGAAAATCAGTTAAAATCTAATCAAATGTAAACTAGGTTGAAATAGAATAAAGAAAGAATCTTGTCCCACTGTGACTATAATTTCTGTAGTTGTCCAAGTAAAACCTTGTACTATCTTCTGAAAATACTTGATAAAAGCTACTGTCTAACAAGGCACTGGACTAGCCAAATCATACATATAAGACAAATCTTACCAGTTTTCATTCATATTTACACAAGAAGTAGCATTCTGTTTCAGAAATTGGTTCGGTCATACCTTCCCAGGCTTTCTTCTTGGTGCAGGAAGTGTATCCAAAATGCAATCCTTTGTTTGCCTTCCTTTGCCACATTTAGGTAGTCCCCAATGAATACAGCTGTTTCTTGGCCTGTCCAGAGGCCTGACTTCTTTGAGTATTTTAAAAGAAGAGCAGCTACAAAAAGAAAACACTGCAGGTAGAATGGACAACTCCACAAGACTGTGCTGAGGGATGAAATATCAGCACCCAGGAGGTACGATATTCATGCTCCTCTGAAAGCAAAGTATTGGGCTACAAAATACATGCTAAGAGATATCTAGGTGCAGAGTTGGATATTTTACATGAAAAAAAAATTGCACAATGGGTTTGAGACATGCAAGATGGGATGAGTCCTAAGTGGGTTGTACTTAATGAGTTCAATGAGGCACCCTACAGTGGTGTTGATCCCAACTTCCATATTTCTTAGTATATTGATCAAATGTCTGCATATTAAAGTATGGCAAATAAATCAAGCTGTTACTTATTAGTAACTTAATAATAATTATCTCAAACACATAGTTTGCAGTGGTGAAATGTGGAATCTGCATGGGCTACAAAACCAGGGCCTCAAGTAGCAGGTTAGAAAGGACTTGATGAACTAGCACAGGGAGTACAAGCAACCTGAGTCACTTCTTGCATGAAGGAACTGAAGCAGCAGGGACTGAGTGTGCCTGGCAATGGAGCCCATTTCCAGGAAGCTGTGACTGATGTGCAAATGGGTAAGAAGGAATAGGAGAAAATGGTTCAAGGGAGTATTCTTCTATTGATAAAATTCTTGTACAAAACCTCATAAAACAAAAGAAAATAAAGTCCTAATAAGTGATGACTAAAACATTATGCTAAAAATCCTCAGTCAAGACTGGTTGCTGTGGGAGTACCTGTTGCTCTGTGAAAATGCAATGTAGAAACTTACAGTATGCTTTATGAAGCTGTTTAGACTTAAAAATTCCCGTAGGCATCAGTCTCTGGACAAGCCAATTATGTTCTACCCCTGCCAGAAGCTGCATGTAATCATCATCCCTCAGAAATCGAGCGTCAAGGATTTCCTCCTTCGTTCTCCCAGGTGCGAACAGAAAACCACTATTCCTTGGGTTCAGAAATGGGCCTGCAGGGGAATTCTTGGGCATCTGTGCTGATTTGTGCCATGAACTCAGAGATGAACTAGATTGTCTCTTGCTGCTCACCATGTCCTGAGTCTTTTCTTCATCTTCTTCAGTAGTGGCACAGTCAAAGTTTTTGGTTATGGATATCTTTCCCCTTGAGGGCAAAGCTGTTGGTGCACTGGGAGTTGACTGATGCTCTGAAACAGATGTCATAAGGTAACTGTTTACTAAGTCTCCACTACTGATGAAATCAAATTCAGTGTCATCTACTGTTTCTGCCTGGGTATCAACTTCAGACACTTTGAGTGTTCTCTTTCCCACCACAGCAGATTTCCGAAGCCAGTCATGTACAGTGGAGTTACTGGCTATTTTTGGCTCAATGGTCGTGGATAGTACACAAGCAGCCCCATTTGTGGGGGGACGTGCGTCAAAAGAGGGATCCTCTGTGCTCTCTGCAGTTTCTCCTTCGGGGTCAACGCACAAAACCGGGCTCCTGGGCCGGGAGGCGGGGGCGGCGGCGAGGCCCTCCTTGCCGCTGTCCTTGGTCCTGCAGTCCGGCCCCGCTGCCGGGGCTCTGGGCACGGCCTCTAGGTCCTCCCAGGAGGACGAGGCAGACTTCTCCTCCTCCTCCGGCCTGGTAGGAATAGAGGAAGGGGTGGAGAGGGAAGGAATCACGTTGTTCTCTAAGTCTGCGTTATTCACCTTCCCGGGTTTCTTTTCTGAAGAGCTCCTTCCACGGCGTCTTCTCTCCTGCAGCTCTTCTCTTCTCAGCTTCTCTACCAGCCTTCCAGCTAGGGGTCTATCTAGCTCAAAGGCAGGCTGAGGAGATCCCAAACAGCTATGCAGGGGCTTTTGAGGAGAAGGATGGCAGGGTTTGGGAGGCAATGAGCGCAAGACTGCAGCTTGACAATTTTCATCAGATTCTGTTGTGCAACATTGCTCCACCACGGAGCCCTTTTCCTGCTGCTGCCCTTCCCTAGGAAACTCTTCGCTGTTATTATAGTTCAGTTCCTCCCAGCTGGAGGAGTAACTTGATTTTGACAGCTTGTGCCAAGAGTTGTCTGAAGTGGTTGGTTGACTCCTGTTTTGCCATCTGCTGAAAACACTCTTTTCATCATTTATTTCTATTTCTAATGGTTCAACCCCTTCATTGAAGGAAATTCTCATCACATCAGAACCAATATGTTTATTTCTTGTTTGGTCACTGAGTCTCTCCAAGCTACTTCCTGCTGTTGGTGAATTAAGCATTTTGGCAGCGCCTTTCCTCTGGTTCACTATTTCTTCAGTAGCATACACAGTGTCTATATTTTTAGTTTCTGTTTTTAAGGTTGTGATACAAGCTCCCACTTGGGTTTCTCCTGGTGTGGTTTTATGAACCCTACAAGTGTTTTCAAACACTTCACACACTGACAGATGATGCTGAGAATGCATGGCAAGGATTTTCTCAAAGTTAGTTTCCCCCTGCAGAACAGGGTTTTCCACTGTGCCTTTAAAACTGTCTGGAACATAAGACCTGGCATCAGAATTAGGGAAGTTTTCCACTTGCAGGTGCTTCTTAACGGATGTGATCAGGGACATGATCTCTTTGGCAAGCAATCCTTTATCTTCCTCTTCTGTAAAGGAAGTGCTGTATGAATGCAGTTTTTCCACGGCTTCTCTGCATAGTTGGCTCACCTCACAGAGTTTCTCACTCTCCCCATAGAGCCATCGATGCACGGTTGTGAGGCAGAATGCAGCTTTAATAAAACTATGGAGCTCCTGCTTGCTGGTGACAAGACTGTTATCATTCTTGGTGAGGAGACCAATCTCAAAGGATTCTTTGGCTTCAGACAAGTAGAACTTTCTCGTTTCTGGGGGACAGTCCTTGGAGTGACTATAGGACAGCAAACACATCCCACGAATGTTCTGGGAAGGGGTGAAAGAGGAATCAAGGAATTAAAAACCTGGACCTCTGTCAGAGATAAATAAAGGTCAGGAAAAAATATATTTCCTTCCCTTATACAACTTGAAGCAAATGACAAGCTCTAACTGTCTGCTGCTGTATTTCCTGGGGGAAATAATCTTTCTCTTTTTCCTTTGAAATACAGCTGTAGTTATTGGAGAAGCAGCACTTCCAGATGGGCTTGAAAGCCCATCCTCACTCTGTGGACAAATACTGCTTTCAGCTCATCTTTTTAGCTTCTGATTAGAGTTCAGAGTAACATAGAGCATCATACCCACAACACAGACAAAACCCCCTGTATGATGCAATGATTGAAAGCTGGATTAGAGCCAAATTTAATAGCCTGAACTTTCCCCTTATATAAATAACATTTCAGAATGAGGACTAATACTTACCACAGCCGTGAGCACAAACAGTGGGGTGTACTGGCTGTAGGCTGCTGCTAGTTTGCAGGCCTCAGCAGCTGATAATAAGCGATGACTGAACTCTCGGAGAAGGCTCTGGTGAAAGGAGAAAAGCAAGAGAGGAATTCTCATCTCGAAGGCTCTATTTAAAAAAAAAAAAAAGGGTCTCCTGTTAAGCAACCCTGTTAGACTGAAGCAAGGAAGCTTGGGATTTGTTTGTTGTCTGTTGTAGGTTCTCTGAGCTCTCTGAGACCTTTGAGTCTTGATAGAGGAGGACATCATATCTTAAACAACAAAAGCTGGGTCTGTTTCTGCAGGAGTATTTTTGCCCAGGTTTATCACAGATGTGTCAGTTTTTGATCCTATAAATATGCTATATATTGCATGGACACACACATACCCTGTAAATATTCTTAATATTTTCTTTTTCCTGAAGCAAGGCATTCTTCCAACTAGGTGCTAATGGATTTTTTCAATGGGAGCAATGGAACTTTCTTCAGCCCTCTCAGCACAGGACAGGAACTTGAGGAATAACAAAGTGTGGGTGAATTTGGAACAATCAGATACAGTTCATCTGAAGCATCTACACACACAAATACCAAACCAAGTCTCACCAGGTCAATCTCAGCACTGGTTTTAAAACGTATGTAATCCGTCTCATTCATGGAAGCAAAGATGTCTGCCATGATACCCAAGGAAGTAGCAATTCCCTGAAAGAGGAGTGGAAAATTACAATAGTTTATTTCCCCTTGTATTTTGAATTTTATTTCTCACAATAAAGTAGGTTCTATGTAGAAATAACCAGAAAAACAAGCAAAACCAAAACAAACAAACAAGATCCAAAAAGAAGCACTGCTAAGAAATTCAGAGACATATCTTGGTAGGGTTTTATTAATTTCAACTTGCAGAAAATGCAGCCTGGTGGATATGTATGAGTTTTCATGAGTGGCAGCTATCCCAATTACCACTAGCTGTAGGTTTCAATTTAAATAGCATTCCATTTTCCCAAGGTGCTGTTTGTGACAATGAAAGCGAAAGAGCATGATAAGACCAAAACCTGCACAGCTAAAGAGTTAAGAATGTCAGGAAATATCTGTCTGCTTTCCACAAAATTCACTACACAACTTGCTCCCGAAGAGATATTCTGAGATTGAGGTCAAGCTTTAAGGTGTGGCAGAGAAGAGGTGACAAAGTCTGTTTCTGTGGTATATCCTATGCTGGGGTACAATTACAAAACTTCTTAAAGCATCACCTTATGACTTGCAAGACTTAGATTCACATTCCTGTTTAGCTACGGACACATGGTGTGACTGTTGCTTCATCCACAGTGGAAGATTAGAGTGGCAAAATCTCACAAAGGCGTTAAAGACAGATAAGGTAGCTGGTGCAAGGTGTTCAGACACTGCAGTGCCAAGGAACACACATCAATCACAACAGATAGTGTAGTATAGTACAGCTTACGACCACTCCAGCAAATAGACACACTTGGTTATTTGGAAAGAAATGTAGCCTTAGTCCTAAAAATAAAATAAAATAAAATAAAATAAA